TGTTACTTTTGGGGCCGGAGTTTTTCTGGCTAGCTAACAGCTGCACCCACTTATCATGTGTGTCCAGTGGACCGTGAAGTTAGCCATCAAAACAAACAAACTTGACACCCAATGTGGGCATCGGAAAGATTCCAAGACTGTGTGGGTGAGAGATCATCACCTTTGCTCTTTTACTGTCACACATCAAACCTCAGATCATTAACACGCGCACCGTGAGATCCAATCACCAGTAGATAATCATGATGTGTGTCATAAAGAAACAGAAACAGCGACAAACAGACACTTCTGTTTGGACTTCTCATTCAACCTTTTTACTCACCATGTTTATGTCACCTGTGATATGTAATTACATAGACTGAAATAGACAGAGGAAGAAAAAAATATATATTTCTGCCATGGTATGGTATATATTCAAGTGGTCACTTGTGCATTATCCGTCTATCTTTCACATTTCGGAGCGTGAATGGGTACTAAGCACACAGCAGCGACTTTACAGAGACATAATTAGCAGAGAGAAGGTATGACAGATGGATTATAGTCCTAAGTGAGAGTGTGGAGAGTCTATCATGCGAGCTGCAGTGCACCTGCTTTGTCTTGGGCATAAACAGCAGAAGAGGTAGGAATTTGTCTCCTCATACAGCATGCCTGCAGAATTACAATATGTTTTTTTTTTTCTTTGTCCTCACTCGGACTGCTCGCAGTGATAAAGAAAAACTCGGAGATTCTGATTTTATTATTCCGAAGCAGATGGTACAAGATGAGACGCTGAGGTGGAGGGGTGGGGAGGGTCAGCACAGTGACCTTCACTTTGATAATCTAACACCGTCCCTGCAATGTTCTAACATTAACCCCTCACCCCTCACAGAATATGCATGATTCCGAGCAGACCGGTGGCCAGCGTGCTTTCGAACAAATCACCTCGACGTGCAATTACCTCCTTCTCCGGAGTTATTTCTTTCCTGTGGATACGGTCACCCTTTCATTTGAGTCTGGAAATTAAACAGGTTTCCAGGTTAATTAATTTGACAGACAGAACCCATTGTGCCTGGTGTCAGCCCAAAAGGAAATCTTATTGCCTCTTGTCCTGGTGGTTGACTTTTTATTGTTCTGTGATTTGTTGTTCTTTTAAGGAGCACATCGTGCCAGCCCAGTAATTGATTTAAAGGAGACAGCGTCGAGCCGACATGTTATTGAATGCTAGAAACCAAGGCTTTGACTCTTTTTATAGGAGTCTATAATTTATCATGTGTGTGAGGGGAGGGGTGTTTCAATGTTTCACGGCTCTGGTTTGTGGAGACCTTGGCCACATTTGAGTGTTTGGTCAGCTGGATGGGACTGGACTCCCGTCCGTCTGCAGTCTCGCTCCTTCCTTCAAGGTGCTTTCAACCCCGTGCGATGATGATGCTGAAACGGCATGACTCAAAGTGCACGTGACTTCTCGACCACGCGACAGCGAGACGGGAGGAAGAGACGATCCGAACTGAAGGATAATCTCAAGCTAAATCACACAGCCTCTCGGGGGAAAGGCCCCTCTTCCTGGGGTTAGTCAGTGAATTAAATCACGTCGAGGGCCTCATTTTTCAAAAGTAACCTTTTGGTTGACAGAGTAAGTGGGAGTTCGGTTCTCACTGCAGAGTCCAAGCATCGGAATTAGTGTTGTGCGTTGTGACACCATTCTCTCAGGGTGTCATTTGTGGAAGCTGTTGCTGCATTTTTCCTGGCCTGCCTGTCTGTCTCAGTGTGCTCACAGTGGAGGTGGCCATCTGCCTCACTCCACTGTCTTATCCCTGATTTCTCTTCTCAGCAGTCTCATCCCAGCAGCACTGGCACCTTTAACATATTTTTAGGCTCATGAATGTGTACAATATCTGTCCCCAAATATCTGCTTTGAGGTCAATATCCACAATTTGCCCATTGAAAGGCGTCAGTGTACTTAATGTGGCTGATGGAGATGAATATACAATATGGCTGGGATTGGCTGGAATCAGTCTCTGTCTATTCAATTTAATTAATTAGAAATTTGTCCATTCAGGCCTGGGCATGTCAATGTGGTGAGTTTCAATTATGGCGACATCACCCTCTCTAATCTTTTAATTTAACAGAATCTAATTGATTGACCATGTTCATAAAGTGGGACTGTATGGTTTATAATCTTTTTCACAACAACGTCATTTGCAGGGAATGTTTATTACTACGTGAGCAGTGAGAGTGAGAGTAGACTGATAGATAGCCTGTTTTGTTGTGTTCAATGAAAGCAAACCTTTATAAACTGATAATACTTTCATGGTGAATTTGTAAATCTTTAATTGATGACAAATCAAAGTCAACACATCAAGGGTGAACTTGAGAAATCTGTTTTTATCAAAGAATGAACACTTTAATTTGATGCCAAGAAAGCTCTAAAAACTAATTGGTTTAATTACCAATATGTCATTAGCATGATTGGGTACAAAGAGAACATCCAAGAAGAGTTTTTAGGAGTAATGTTGGAGAGGGATTTATCTCCGGTTGTTCAGTAGATTCAGGAATATAATTATTGCCGTGAATCTGCTGGGAGATTTAACTGTCTATGTGAATTAATGTCATGATTAATTTAATGGTTTAGTGAATCCATGGAAATTCTTATTTGTGGGTGCAAAGATTTGAAGCCACTACTGGAAAGCCATGATATGTAGCCCTGCAATAAAACCACTCGTTTCTGTTCTGGAAACCATTATCAGGAACCAATTCACAAATGAAGGCTGAAAATATGGAAATACTTGGACAGTGCTCTCTGAAGGTGGACTGGGGTAAAGTGTCATGTAAGGAATTAAAATTTGAGAATCATTTAGCCAATCGGGAACAGTCAGTTCTCCAGTCTTTGTGACTTATGGCGTGCAGTATGTGGAACGTGCACACCTGTGAAGACACCAATAATGCTGAACTATACAAGTTTAGGAGCTACAGATGGTGCTCCGCAACTCTGCAACACAGTGGTGAACATATGTCTGTGTCAACAATATGGCTGATGTTGATAGGTTTTGAGAGTTTTCTATTATCTTTTTTATGATCTTTTATTATTATTATTTTTATTATTCATTTGATCTTTTCACAAATATTCATAGTTTTTCTGGAAATGAGATATATGTATACATATGATTATGTTGTTCAGAAATGGTCAGTTCCTGAGGTGACACGGAAATTAAAGCTTACACATGAATTATACATTTACCAAGTGCTTAATTAGCACCTTCCAGCACACTGCAACCCACTGAGCATGTACTCATTAGAAGAGTCCAACAATGATTGGAATTGTCATATTGAATATGATTCATTTTAAATAACAAGCAGAAACCGTCTTTTTAATGAATACCTCAAATTACCAAGTGACTCCCAGGTCCATGCAGTGATAATGCAGTTCATTGCAAGCCATGCTCCTGCCACTAATGCCACATTACAATAATAACAATAATACTGGTCACTATTATCATCATTATCATTAAAAGCATCTGTGCAATTATAGACGTTGATATGTTAGTGTTTTGTTCGGAAGATGTGTGGCTTCCTTCTCCAAGCGGTGTGGTTAATTCTTATCAATGTGTGTGCCAGCGTGATGTGTGTGTGGGTGGGGGGTGGTGGTGGGGGGTGGGGGGGTTTTCAGGATGAATCAGTGGTGTCTTCAGAAGGAAGGTTGCCAGGGAGACCAGCCTGGACCCCTCCAAACGTCTGCTCTCCATTCTCTCTCCGTGCATGGTTTTTTTTAAAGGTGCATCGGTAATGAGTCCAAAACTATTTCAGGAAAGGCACTTTTTTTTATTCGCGAGTGGGTGAAGCTCTTCATCTACTCTCGGCTGATCTGTGTTTTCATAATGCCACCAATATCCACTTCACGCCTGCCACCGTCAACATCAAAAAGAAGAGGAGGGGGGAAGAAACAGGTCGCGATTGTTTGTGCTCGTAGGTTTGAGGGGGATCAAAGAGGGAGGAGAACAGAGAACAGATTATGGTGCGGAGATGCAGCACACTGAGAGGCACTCAGAGGAACAATCGTCTCATTATTCCAGCCTCTAAGTGCATTTGTTGGACTTGTTTACCTTCTCTCGTGTCTGAAGATCGTGCACGCCAACTTCCTGGAAACCTTGCCATGAAGTGATGCTAATCTGTCCTTTCCACTCCCCCCCCTGCCAGCTGAATGACGTCTCACATGGAAAGGGGGGGCTGAAAACTCGCGGTGAATCTCTCGCTGTGACTCATTCGCGTTCGTGTTAAATGCGACCGGTTGCGGAGACGAAGAAAAGAGCTGAAGATTTAATTAACTGGGGTTTTTCCTCAGTCTTCTGCTTTGCGATCGCATATTTGCGCTGGCATTAATCGTCCCCCCCCCCCCCCCCCCACCCACCCCCCTCATCCACTGTCGCGCTCCCTCTCTCTTTCTCTTTGGAGACTGTGGATATGATCGTGCACCCCTGGGAGACAGACACCACAGTGGAGAGAGGCATCCCTGCGCTTTCCATGGAGTTGTTCTGAGCGAGAAGAATGTCACCCACCTCTGCTGGTCTTACATCCTAAGTGCAGATTCGTAGAGACCGTTTTTTTTTTCCGATTCACTACGCGTTAGTTGGTGTAATTTGCAGCTTAAGGGTGTGAAGATTTTTTATTGGGTTCCCATTCGCGTTGATTGAAAAAAAAAAAGAAATAGGACACTTCATCTGCACGGGTACGTCTTCTTTTTTTCTCTCGTTGGCGTTTGGTGTAACTGATGGACGCAGCCTCCCTTTGCCGGGGAGCTGAACTACTGTTGGGGTTTTCGCTGTTCAACAAGCTGCGCCGCTGGCTGTCGGCTGCAAAACGATGGGCGCAGTTTTCCTGAGCCTTCCTCTCCGTCTGGCATCTCCGGCAAAGCTTGTTGAATCCCCCCCTTGGTGACAGGAATGGATTCGTTCTAACAAACTTCCCAGCCTTGCCTGTTTTTCGTCCAGTGGGTTTTTTTGCGGGGCTCCGTCGTTCCTTAAAAGTTAACCATGGCTCATCACGGTGTGTGCGTAAATCTGATGTCTGCGTGGAGGCTGCTGTGGCTCATTAGTACGGCCGTGGCGTTGGCGATGCCCCAGGAGACTTACGCGCCTCATTCGATTCGGACTCAGGGCCATCTGACCCTTGGCGGACTCTTCCCGGTCCACTCCAGAGGGGCCGACGGCGCGCCGTGCGGAGACCTGAAGAAGGAAAACGGAATCCAGCGGCTCGAGGCCATGATGTACGCCTTGGACCAAATTAATCAGGATGAGCAACTCTTACCCAACATCACCCTGGGCGCGCGAGTGCTTGACACTTGTTCGAGGGATACATACGCCCTGGAGCAATCGTTAACTTTCGTCCAGGCTCTGATCACAAAGGACACGTCTGATGTGAGGTGCACTAATGGGGAGCCACCGGTGTTTGTCAAGCCGGAAAAAGTGGTGGGAGTCATCGGAGCCTCGGCGAGTTCGGTATCGATCATGGTTGCCAACATCCTACGCCTCTTTCAGGCAAGTCTTTTCAGAAAGCACTTTTTTTGTGGCTTTTTCACGATTTTATTAACGAGACGAAAGGTATTCTGTCAATAAATGCGTTTGAGGGAGAAAATAGGTCTATCAGAAGTAGCAATCAATCAAAAACTGTAAAGCACGCTCATTTTTTTCTCTCGTCTAAATTGACCTTATTGGATTGGATGTTCTATGTGATCTTCTTGAGACATGTCCATCTCTGAAAGCATGCGTTTTAAAAAAGCAGGTGAGGTGAATTCGGGTGTTTGTTTTTTTTTCCGAGCCACTACACAGAGGATGCGACAGCTGAGAGTGCTGTTGCGTTTCCCCGGTGGTGCTGAAAGAACAGCTCCCGTCTGTTCCAGCAGCACTCCACGGTCTGAATGAGTGGGCACTGACAGCCTGACACAATCACACCAGAACTCAACAGCCCCCCTTCTGAGATTAACAGACCTATTTCATGCGATTGCACACGATTATGTGACCCTCTTGTATGTTTAGACTGCAGGGTTTTTTCATTTTTATAAATTGCGTTGCCCATAAAAGTCACGATTTATGTTTGGGGTTGGCTGGCTTATATCTACAGGGGGCCTCTTCTGGAAATGAACTTGTTTTAAACTCTTTTCAGCCAAATTGAGCTGGATTGCTCCAAGTCAGTGCTAAGGGGCTGTGGCTGTTTCAAGAACGACTTCGCTTACGTCCACGGGAACAGATCACTCTTCCTGTTGACTGAGAGTCAACTGTTGTTGGCCTTCTGCCGCTGGTGCTGCAGTGGAATGGGAAGCAGGAGGTTAATAATTTAAAACACATCTCTGTCATAAAATAACTAATTACGTCGACTGCGAGGGCCTCATCAAATGTGTGGGATTTTGCCCATCTCCTTCTTGGGGACGTTGAAGTTGAGGAGCATCATTAGAGCTGCAGTGTTTGTGATAACGATTTGTGGTTGCAGATCAGAGCTCACAGTCTTGTTGTGCAGTGTTTCGTTTCGGTTCAATTAGACAAACCGTGGGCCGGGCTGTGAGTATCTATTAACTGCAACTGCAGAAACGTTGACGAACATAACAAGCTTTCGGCCCACTTTTTCCCTCCTCCTTTTCACTCACGTGCACGTGCGCACACGTGCACATTCTGCGCAAGCAGCACTATTATTTATTTATTTATTTATCAATAGTTATTCAGTCATCCTCTGGGTTTTGTGGCTTCGTTTATGAGACACTTAGACAGATCGTCCCCACCACAATCCAAGCTTCAGCTTCCCTTCACTGGTTGTTGGGTGAGTGAGCATATGAAATTTTTATGAATCTAAGTTGGTTAATAATCCTCCAGTCATGCTTTGAAACATCCTTCCTACCCTCATTATTTTCTTGCAAAATGTGAGACTGATTTTGCTTCGTGCAGTCTGTGTACCACAACACTGTGTGCGCGCAGTGGTACAATTTAGGGTTCTTTTGGGGAGGGGGGGGAAGAGTCCCTGATTCTCTTTGCGCTTTCCTCCCCTCACCAGTTGGACCTGCCCGTCTGCGAGTGTCAAACTGTCAGAGAGTAGGTGTAGCTCATGTGCGACAAGGCGCTGAAACTCAGTCGTTGTAATCAAGCTTGAGGAATCTGTGGAGTGACAGTGGTTGTCATGCAGCGTCATCCATCAATCTCACCATGCATTTCTTCTCATTTCCCCAAAGCGTTGGCACAAAGTTAGATTGAATCGCCACATTCAAATGTGCACGACGGAAAGAACAAAAATTCTGTCTTCTTTTTGAATCGGTTTGCACCTCAGCATGCGTTTGCTCCCAGAGGTGCCAGCAGTGATGATATTTTTCATAACAGGAATGAAAAATTAAATGTGGGACCACACGACACTGAACAATCAATACAGAATTTAGATCTCTAAGCCCATTTATCCTCATTAGTCTTTCAACATTTGATTGTAGTCTGACATTGTATTCAGCAGCAATCCCCAAACCATTAAATGATTCAAGATAAAAACCATCAAAAGCTCGAGAGGACGCCTACTTAGATACAATTAAAAATAATCTGAAACAAGTGACATCAATTGAGCCCGGCGCAATGTATTTCATTGCTTGTCTTAGGGAGTTTCGGTTTGATTTGATCATGAATATGCTTCAGAGTCAAGAAATAGACATTGAAGATAAACCTTTCCACTTAAAACCTGAGGACACGGACTTCTCTCTGAGTTGTCCTCCCACCCGACTTCCCATATTGTTCACAGTGAATATCAATAGGTCATTTGGTGTCTCACTCCTGTGATAAATGAATCATCAGGGAAGCTAAGTAATGATTGCACATTTTATTGCCCGATTCTAAATATCATGCCTGTCTATTCAAGGCATGAGTGGCTGCTGAACTGTTAATGCTTTGAAATTGACATGAGCGATAGATTTTTCAAAGGACCCAAGAGGGTTGATCAATACTGTTGCCATGGTGAGGCCGATTTGCTGCTAAGATGTTTTTATTTCAGTGCCTTTCGTGCTGTGTTGGAAATGAGAATCAACAATGCCACATGAAAAAAAAAAGAAAATCAATCAGCCAAACTTTTGAATTGTTATCAGGACCTGCTGTGTTGTGCACCTTTGGAAAATCAACTAGCCTATACTCTCTGCACCTGAAAGGATTGTCACCATGCAGTTGAAAAGACCAAGCAATTTGACCTGTTTTGTAAGTTCTGACCTTGCGGGGGGAAAAAAAAGAAAAGATTCTTGGCGGAATGACATTAACATTGGACACGGCGGCCTGCCATTCTCTGTCGCATCCTTTTTTCTCCCAAAGGCAGGGGCAAAACTTTGTGTAGAATCCAGGTGAACTCCGACTTGTCCTCCTGTCTGGTGAGGCTGCCCCCGTAGAATAGCTGTCTGAGCCAGCCACTGACATCCACAGCTCTCAGAGCACTGACAGGCTCCAGTCGGCTCTCCGTTTTCACAGAATTCATCGTTGTGACAGATTTGAAGGAAATGGAAGCCCTGCAGTGTGATCTGTTCAGCTGACACTGGGAGAGATGGACACCAAAGGAAGAGAGGAAAGAGAGGGGACACAGTGCCTGTGTGTCTATGTGAGAGTGTGACGTTGGTTGCTTAGGCTGTAACTTTGAATAGCAAAGGTTAAGTATATCTGGTTGCCAATTTGTTATCACTGTTAACAAGTCAATTAGTAACAACCCTGGTATTACATTCAATCATATGATAAAGGACACAGTTGGTATGACAAGCATCATTTGAGTAGATATACACACCTCGCTTGCACGTACACACATGCGCTCACAAACCCCCCTATTACTGTTGCTGAGGGGGTGAAAACTTAACTGTCTTGTGGACATTTAATGAACCAAACCAGTGGTTTCAGCTCTTGTACTTTCTATCTATCACTTGCTAATTGGCTGCTTTTCAGAGTGTGACACGGAGACCAGACTTAGTATGGTATACCCTTATAACAACTGTCAGAGACATGGATAGGGACGGATATGATTTCCTAACATTCCGTTTGCATTACTTTGAAATTGAGAATGAGCTGTATCCGTTGTCTTGTTGCTGTGCATGTGCAACGATTGAAAGGGAGAAGAACGTGCAACCAGAAATAAGCCGCAAAATACAAGAAGATGTTTGCCAGTGAATATTTACCAAAGACTTGGATGGAAATTAAAAATGTGTTTGGATATGGCTGTCAAACTGTGTTGTCTCATATCCAGCTTATCTTTAGTCTTGTATTGACAAAAAAAAGATGCTGTGTGTAAGGCTGAGGAGTTAAATAAATTAAACTGTCAATGACAATTCTCATTTTAATTACTGATGAAGAAAATTCTATACAAAATAATTGATTTGATTATTTCATCCTGTGTTATAGATCCAGTTTGCCTCTTTCCTTTAAAGCAGCCTTGCCACAAAACCCAGACACCCAATTGGTCAGGTTGCGTAATATTTTGTTCACCTTGAACGTGGATGGAAAATTCAAACTAAAACAGGTCCATTCTCAGCTTAAAAGGACAGTATGGAGAACATTACTATTGATGAATGAGTCGATAGTCTATTAGCTGGTAGGTCCACATGTATTCTTAATGCTACACCTTGCTTCTGAAAATGGAAAAAGCATTCATGTAAGGTTAAGGTGGGATTTAAAAAAAAACTTTAGCTGTGACGTGCATGTTTATTTTTTTGTGTTGTTTCTTACCTCTTTGTCCTTGTGTCAGTCCTGTGAGGAATTGGCATGCTGTCCAGAATGTGTGTCTGACTTTACTTGGGTTTAACAACATCTTTCTCCCGGAATGACAGATGACTCATTCATTGCAAAGTTCAGGAGGAGAAGTTTCTGCCTGCCTCCCACACAAATCTCACACTTGGATTTTTTTCTAACCCAAATTAAAACCTCTAACCTCAACAAAGAATCAGTAACAGGAGCAAGCTGCTCGGCGCTGTGGTGGTCAGCAACAAGAAGGTTCCTGGTTCAAATCCCAGTGGTGGCCAACTGTTAGTGTGGGTGTGTGTGTCTCTGCGCATGGTGGACCTTCCCTCTCATCCTATGGAAGTTTCCATTATCCCTCATTGGGGAAAGAAAATTGACTGATAAGTTACCCCTTCCATTCAGATCTTTGTCAAAAAAGAGTTTAAAATATTTAATATGAATATAGTTAACTTTGCTCTTCTTTCAAGATAGTGTGTTGATTAATGTCCGTATTCATTTTCTGTCTATTCACATGACATTATCTGTTGCATAGTGAGTCTCTCTTCTAGTCTAGTATTGTAGTCTTTGGGGTAAGGAGTTAGCAATACTAGTTTTCATGTCAGTCATTTAAGCAGAATTTTACAAGGTAAAGTTTACTCACAAACTGTGGCAAAATGTGTCTGGTATAGGGATTTACATTACGTTTACCAGTTCGGCAGCAGGTGTTACAACTCACAAAGATGCCAGTAATGCAAAAGTTGAGAGTTTTCCATTTTTAAGTGAGCATGCTCTGAGTCACGTTTTCTGTTTTCTGCTCTTACAGTCAAGGCCAGTCGCTCAGCATGAACCTACTTAAATTGCTTCAATTCAAGAATGCAGTTATACAAACAGGGATATAAACAATCAATACTCACTTAAGGAGAGGTCAATCCCACCTGCACTTTAAATTGGCTGGATATCGGTGCGCGGTGCTATTTCCTAGGCCAGAGTTCAAACACACTGAAGTTAGCAAACCAGGATCGATTCCTGCCTTCGAGCAAATGCATCTCGGCTTTGTTAGAGAAATGTCGGGGAATGACTGAAGATGAAGGTGAAGGCATTCCTCTAACAAAATCTGTCTGGACACAGATGTTGCATCTTGATCAGTGGTAAGGATAAAAATAAAAAAAAGGTGATCTGCTAGGATGAAAATGTGGATGGTTTTTTATGCTTGAACTGGATTTTTATGTTGTTTTTGCAAAATGAGACTCATTTATCAATGGTTATCCACAAAGAAATCTTGCCAGTTTGGTGCTTTTAATTTCAATTTGTTTTTGTTTATACGGAGTCATGCTACGAAAAACATCACAGCACGAGCAACTGATGCAACATTAGTAAAACAAATAAAAGATCCCGGCGTGAGACAAGTTGTCATTGCTCTTGACATAAGGTTGTTAGGTCAGCCGCCTGCCACATAGTCGGTACGTGGAGCCATGGGCGCTGAATATTAAGGTTAGTCCCACGGGCTTAAGGGGAGGATAGTGTGCTTTATTATTCTGTTACATAATAGCTTCCCATATGAATAAATGTTTCTCAATGAAAACATAAATATTACATTCTCATACCCTTTTGTTTTTGTTT